CTTTTACCTCGGCCTGAGCTCAAAGGCGCCGGAGCTGTAGACTGTTGTGCAGCTACACCATGTCTAGCTACATACTCATCATATAATTTTTGAAAATAATTTTTAATAGCTAAATAATGAGAAGTAGCAGTAAGGGTGGATTCATTATCTAAGTCTATAATCTGTCCACCATACAATGATTGTAACAAACTTCGAAGGCCAATATCCTTCAAACATGGATCAATAAGAACCCCCAAACCAAAAATATGAGGAATAAGCCTAAAATACTTATTAAATTTGCTCTCCATTTGAAAAATTATAGCTCCAAAAGTATCATTCATACGATATTTGTTAAATTTTTTTTAAATATTTAAAATTTGTAAAACAGCTAAAGTAATAGTTGGATAATAACAGCCAGATAATAACATTATAGCATCATAAAAAACTTGTAATATCTTATTTAAATTACATATAATTGTCCATTCATTTTCAGTTATTCCATAAGTGCTACCAGAGCTAGAACTAGAAACATAATAATTTATAAAATCATTTATAATTTCTTTATATTCTATTTCCACACTTAACATTGCATAGGTGGAATTCCACCTATGGTCAACATCTTTTAGAATTAGTCCGGGCTTATAATTTTTTCTTTTGCAAAATTATTTACATCTTTTAATTCTTTGTTCAGAAGCATTATGCATATTAGCAATTGTCCTAATATTTTCTATCATGGGTTTAATTTCAGTAAATGCATTTTGAACAATTAAATTTAAAATATGACAGATAATGTTAGACCCTAATGCCACTAGGAAAGAACCCTAGAGGGGGGGTGAATATGGTTTATGTTAATCTAATTCGATTTAATGCCGATTAAAACTAATTAACAAGTTATCCTAGCGAATAAGATATGCAATGAGTTATTAGCAAGGATAAGCAATATAAACAAGGGTGAAACAAGATAAACAAAAGATACAATTATGATAGGGTAATATAAACAATAAGCTATAGACAATGGCGATATAAGATAAATACAAAAGTAAATACGCCAATGACAAACTCAAACACAAACAAATGATCACGGAGTTCGGATCTTCCGTCCTACGTCGCCGCTCCCCACTCTCAAGGAGAACTCCACTATTACAACCGGGTTTTCAACGTTCACCCAAAAAAGTTTACACCTCACAATATCGGTTTTCAACGCTCACCGATCAACATTCATAATCTCACAATGTAACTACACAACTACCACCTCAAGTGTTGGCCTCTCACGTGTCTCCCACAAGTGCTCGGAATTACGAACTACCTCTAGACATTACCACCGACCCCACTCCTCTTAGGACCAACCACGTCTCTCACCTCTACACTCCTCTTGGTATACTTGTGCAATACAATGTGAACCTCACAATTTAGCTCACAAATAAAAGATTATTTTCTAAACAAGGTGAGAACTCAATTAAGCCCAACTCAATGTTATAATCTCTCACAACTCAAATTATACTATGTATGTAAATACTAAAAGCTCAAGTGAGTGTGTGTAACAATGAGATCCAATAAAATCAAAATTAAACTCAATATAAACTCTAGCTTAATAAAATAATAATGAAACAATTATATATAAATGTAAAGCTATATTGAGTTTCGAAACACTTCTCTAAAGATGACGAGAGAGAGAGAGAGAGAGAGAGAGAGCTATATTGAGTTTCGAAACACTTCTCTAAAGATGACGAGAGAGAGAGAGAGAGAGAGAGAGAGAGAGAGAGAGAGAGAGAGATGAGTTAAATTTCCAAGCACAAATGATGATCTCCTCAAACTCTTGTGAAAATTTCTTCACAAACAAACATGTAAACAAACTTTGAAACTCTTATACTCTTTTAGAAACTTTCTTAAACTTGTTTAGAAACTCTCTTGGATGGTTGAGAGGAATGAAGTATGATGAGGGTATATATAGGAAATCCCAAAGCCAATAAGAACCCAAGAAAAATGCCAAAAAGCCTTCAAAAATCGAAAATACTCAAAGCTACCCGTTATAGGCTGAAAAGACCAAAATACCCCAAAATACAACATTCTAGAAATTTGAGTATCTCGCTTTGTAAAATCAATTAAAAATAGTAAATCAACTACAAAAATCATGACATTTTTAGGGACTGTTCTAGACATGTAGATGAACATGTTAGAGAAAAATATATGAAATATCACTTCCCATTTGTGAGAAATAAATGTTTTAAAACAGATATTCTAGATTTTAAAAACTGCTAAAACACTTGATTTTGTAAAATCAATTCAATATAGTAAATCAACTCCAAAAATGATAAACATTTGGAAATAATTATAAACATGTAATAGAACATGTTACAAAAATAATTTTTGAAATTTCATTTCTCATTTGTAAAATATAATTTATTTTGTAAACTATTTAAGAATACGAAATCGTGAAAACTTGATTTTGATGAAATTTATTCCAAACAAGTTTTGAAATATTTTCCAATAGAATAATAGACTTTAGAAAAGATATAAAATAATGTAAACAATTCTTTAATCCATAAACACATTATTTTGAAAATAAAAAATAATTTAACTTGAAAGTGATAAACCGAAAACGTGTATGTGTATAGTATTTGAGCTTTAAGCATTAACACAAAGAGCATAAACCTAAAACTAAATTACCCAAGCTATCTTAATCTTCAATTGATCTCGTCTTAGTAAACTTTCCAGATGAAGTTTGATGTTGGATTTTGACTTGAATTGAGCATAGGCTTCACTCTACTATTTCCGCCAACCTCCATTGAATGTGATCGTTATGGCATAATTCCATCCAACCTCCAACTTATTGTTTGCCTAGAATAAATATAAAAACACAAACACTAGACAAACAAAGTTAGTTGTAAATTATTTGTAAAAACATCATCAAAACGAAAATGCCAACAATCTCCTCCCTTTTTGATAATGACAAACAATTTACACAAAGAGTATATAAAATATACAATAAGGCACAATACTCATAAACATAAATATACTCACATATTTCTCCCCTTTTAGCAACATTAAAAATAGGGATATAAAAGAAATCGGAAAACGAAAAAGCTTCCCCTACCTATAAGCATGGTGAGTATGAAAACAAATATAAGGAAAAGCTCTCCTATTAAAATATCTTAATGAATATATGCAATGAGGACCAAGGCAAACATATGTGAGCAAGCATAGATTAAAAACATGCTAAATATTACTCACATACAAAAAGATTATGAAAACACATAAAGATATATCATTATGGAAGAGTGTGTCTCAAAACACAAAAAAATATATAAAAACCATGTGGAAAAGATTTATGAAAACAATTGAAAGAAAAACATGAGAATCATAAAAAAAAATTTCAAATGAAAACAAATCACTCAAATGAAATCATAAATCAAAATTTAAGTTATAAATGCAAATTTTTTAAAACCAAGAAATAAAAAATAAAAACATTAAAAATCTTAGTTTAAAAAATCAAAATGGTTTTGACACCCAAACACTTGTGGTGCCTAAAGATTTAGGGGCATGACCCCTATCATTAAAGCTCAAAGCCCTAAGGTTATAAAACCATTTGGACGCATTTAGTACACTAACACGATCAGAATAAAAATTGTACAAATGACCTTTTCAATTGCAATAAGTGCAATGAAAAGGGTTAAATGATTTGTTATGACCAAGTGGCGGTGCACGGAAATCATTTGCAAAAATAGGTTTTTCTTTTAAATTGTTTTGTAAATGAGAAACTCTCTTCATATCAAAACAAAATTTGGTCAAATGACCAAAACGACCACAAAAATTATATTTATACACACTAGCATGCTTGTGATGAACATTTGGAGCATGTGCATGTGTGTGCGATGATGAAGCTTGATGGGATGCACAAACATAATTAGAATTGATGTGTTTTAGTGCATTATAACAAAATCTAGCAAGGTGGCCTTTACGACCGTAATTAGTGCATTTATAGACTTTGTTATACATGTGTGCATAGTGTGTAGGTTTCTTAGAAGAGTTTGCATTAGACTTTGCACACAAGACCATAAGCTTTTTATTATTCACAATGCATGATTTTAGTGTTGAATCTAAGGATGATATTCTATTTTTAACATTATTCAACTCATCATTTTGCACAAATGCATTGGAAATAGAAGTAGATGAAACATGATCATTTTTAAATGAATTAAACTCATTTCTAATTGTTTCTACTTCTATCATGATATTTTTTTTCATGAGTTAAAATAGCAAAGTTTGAAATTAAAGAATCATGATCCAATTTTATTTTTTCATTCTTTTATTTGAGGATCACATTCTCATTAGAAATAGTATCAAACTTAGAAGCTAACAACTCATGATCGGATTTCAATTCTACATGCTTGCTTTTTAAATTAACAAAATTATTTTGTAATTTAGTGTAGGCATGCATTAATTTATCATATGCACATGCGAATTCATTGATAGATAAATCATTATCGGAATCTGACTCGCTTACCACACTAGGCCTATCGCCTAGTGGTTGTGTGCATGATGCTCCACTATCACTTGAAGTCGATTCCACCACAACGCGTCGAATCTCCTCCAAGTCTCCTTGATGTGCTTCAAAAAGTTTCCAAATCGTGTAAGCACTATCAAAATGAGCAAGTTTGTTAGAAATACATAGTTCAAAAGTATTATGCAAGAATTCTAACACTAACTTGTTCATTGTAAACATCTTTTTATCATAATTGCTCCACTTGAATTTTTTCAATGTGAGCACAATGTAAGCACAATCAATAACGTCCCACAAATCGATATTTTTAGATTGAACAAATATTTTAAATCTAAAGCGCTATTGATCATAAGGGAAGTTTCTATATTTTGGAGCAACACTAGGATCATAGCCTAAACAAGATGCACCATTCATGTCCATAATTATAATTACTAGTATGCAATACGTGCATTGCAGGTGATGCATATTAAGAAACAACATGATAGCTTGCAAACATACCTTTACTGTTGAAAGCCAATAATTAAAAATAAATAATATTTCTTACATACAACAAGAAGCTAATGAATTTCTAGCAATATACGAGTTTTCTAGAAGAAACATCCCTTTATGCCTACATGAGATCATATACTCATGTTACCGACAATATAGTCCCTCAAAGAAAGCACTTAAATTCCTACAAACCCCAAAAAGCTCTGTATTGTTTTTGGAAGATAAAGTATAGTTACAATAATAAGTACAAATAACAGTGAAGCAAAATTATACAATACACTGTCAAAGTTGTACCTCCATTTTCAAAGGTGAGGTTGTCGGTGCATATATTTCCACGACTTTTCCATCTTTGTCCACAAAGAACTTAGTGAAATTACACTTGATTCCATCGCCAAAAAACCTCTTTTCTTTAATTTCAAGAACTTATAATAAAGGGTAGTAGTCTCCTTTCCATTCACTTCAACCAACAAAAAACAATGAGTCAGTCACATATAGTTACATGAAATTTTCTTTTAGAACAATGGCAACAAAATGAAATTTTCTGTTGTATATTTGCTATGTGCAAGGGAGATCTATAACTAAGCTAAAATTTAAAGCTAATAATCTTGCCGTGTGAAAATTAACACTGTATTTTATTTTTCCAATCACGCTACACCCATCAAAAATCAAATCTAGTTAGTTTGAAGATATTCACATTCAGAACATCTTTGCAACCTTTGTTGGATTCCATTTGAAATATCTTTCCTGATGAAAGATAATGATATATAGACAAGAATAAATTTGTAACAATAACAACTATCTACAAAGCAAATTAGAGAGCTACGAGCAGAAGAAAGTTTTCATGCCCGTGAAAAGTACGGGTTCTTTTATAAATTTACTTTCTTAAACGTGTAAGCTGGTTCATTAATAAAACTAATTACTTAAGAATATAACTACTTGTAATCACGAAACAATGATAATTATGCACCAATAATCATTAATCACTGAATAGTACTAACAGTCAACCCATAAGTTTATTACTATCATTACCAAACATGAATATTACTCATAATCAACTCACAAACTTATTACTATTAATATCCAACATCTAAATTTCATAAACTTCTCCCACATCAGTAAAAAAAAAGATCTATAATACTACAAATAAAAAAAAAGAATTCCGCTAATAATGAAATCCTCAATTTACCCGAACTACCTAGTAATCCTCAAGTTACCCAAGTTAATGCCAATAATTGGACAAATTGCCAAACAATTACTAACGCACAATCAACTTTCTTCATGTCTACACAAAATTTTATCCAACTAAACCACACAATAAAATTATTCCAAGCAAACCAAAGAAACCCCTTTATCAAGTCACTATTGAATTAATCCTCAACCAACATATTTGACATGCTTTAACTCAAAATCAGCAAAATTTTTGACATAGTAAACTGTCCAATTTGTCCTCGATTCCCCACAATGCTCGAATCTGACCTCAATCGTTGGATTATCAACCCAACACCAAAAACACCAAAAATTTTACACAATTAATCAAACAAAGAAACAAACAAAAAACAAACAACAAACAAAACTCAATTCAAAATCTAATCTTTACCGCTATATTTGATTCTTGAGCTTTAGCAAAAACCTTTCATTATCCTCCTTCGCAGTTTGTACCAACCTCTCAAGCAAATTTTAAAAATATGCATACATACAATTCTAAAAAAAACAAAATCTATTCATGAGATGAACCAGATCACCTACAGATATGCCTCATTGTATAATGTATTAAATTTAGCAAATTTCTTTTGATTCCTAATTAAAAACAATGAATGCTATAGAAGAAAGAAAAACTCTCAAGTAATATCAAATCAACCAATTCACATATTGAATTCAGATGATGAAGGAAATCAAATCAAATATGACTAATCTATCTAAATCCTTCAATTGGTTAATCCTTCAATTGTCGTAATCCTTCAATTGTCTTGATAACCTGGTTACCCTATTCGATTATACGATGACTTCCTTTACTCAACTTCTCTTAATTACCCATTTTCTTAAATCTCGTTACCCTATTCGATTATACGATGACTTCCTTTACTCAACTTCTCTTAATTACCCATTTTCTTAAATCTCATGAGAATTTCTATAAACAACCAAAAATGTTTACTCAACTTCTCTTAATTACCCATTTTCTTAAATCTCATGAGAATTTCTATAAACAACCAAAAATGAAAATCCCCGTAAATCTGAATTATTTTAATCTACTCAAAAGAATGTGATAGGAACTATAGATAAGGTGACCAAGGTCTATTATGTTGAAAAGAGCATTTCAAGATGGTCGCGTGATGCAGCTGACCGTGATCAACCCTCTGCAGTGAGCAAATTTTATGCCACCTAGAAAAAGTATAATTCTGTGAATCTCTTAAAGTCGATGGTGATATATCCTTGTTAGTTGCACATGATTCAATAGCTTTTCTCGATTCTCAAAGTTTTACCGGTAAATCCCATCAGCATACTGTGAAGGAGCATGCAGAAACAACACCTAGCATTTGGTACGCTAGTGTATAGAAGTATTTAAATGTAGTTAAGAATATCAATCAATATTTAATCTCAATTGACCTCTAAAATCTACAGGTTAGTTTTATAGGTATGAAATTTTAAGAATTATTAAGAGCATCAGTGAAAGATCTCTCAAATTTTACCTTGGCATCTCAGCTCGCCTCTTCACCTGCTCAGCAATCTTAGACAACTCTCCGTTCTTGTCATTGAAGAGGCCATAAAAAATCACCCTTATGAAGCCCATGAAGCGTTCTCTGAGCAAGAGCCCACTGTGCCTTCCTCTGCTCTTTTCCATAATCCTTCTTTGTTGTGAATATCGTCTGCATTTTTCCAAATCCATTTGAGAAACAGAAAACACGAACTTAGCAAAAATAAATGTCACAAGAATCAACAATGACCTTGTTCTCGAGGAGGCTTCACCAAGCTTTCCCGTTCAGACTGTAGCGGATCATGAACTTAAGGATATCAAGTGGAATGTAGAAGATGATGCTATAGAGCCATATGACTCTTGCCCGTCCCCATGCACAAACTTTGACGCGAGCAAAGCCCCAGTGTGCATACGTTGCAATTATTGTAGCCACATGCACAATTAAATAAAAGATCATAATATGATAGAAATCATAAAAAGTCATTCAATGGTAATTTTTTCCATCCGAACTATTACCAGTTGTGCAGCTGCGTAGCATCAAGAAGCAAAAGACCGGGGCGCTCAACATCGGACCAACTCCTTGCTCGAGTGACAAAGATAAGAGCTTAAAATTGATGGCTGTACTGAGCTATATATCAATTCTACGAAATTCAATAGTTAATTTGCATTGATACTATAATAGTCTATTCTGCTTTTACTGATAACACTAATTAAAATTAAATGGGCACACAATGTTTCTTTCTCCTTGGTAATATGTGATTTTCTATGATGGCCATCTAATTGTGTAGACAAGGACCACTATACATGATACATTAGTACATATCCCCTTATATGACTCAAAACAAGTGTAGAATTCACATAAAACCACTAAAAAACTTGACCCATTTTGAGATAACCAAAGTAAAATCTATAATTAAGTTTAAACTCTGGCATATTTCTCAATTTATGTTAAGATGACATCTCAAAAGTTTTTGATCGTTAAGATATACTCAAACTTTTCGGGGTTATTTCAAAGTGGTTTAAACTTATTTAGGACTCTAGCATTGTTACACTTGACACAATCAACATGCAATTTACCTTAGTATAAACTTTAGAACAGACTACTGGAAACATATCTCCAAAACAAAATGGTGCACAAATTAGACCAAATTAAAACCATACATGATGCCCTTTAGCATGAATTAGCCCATGTTGTTCACACTCCCAAAACAATATATTAAACAGGTAATGCTCATATGAATTTGAGACGTGCATCTGCAACAATTTTCGGGTGAATGAGAATTAAAATGAAAATGGATAGAGTTAGACCATACTCTTATTGCAGGAAGATGAAGGTGCCAGTGATGCAGAAGGCCAAGGGGTAGCAATATTATCATTAAGATCACAAGTGAAACTAATCCCTGCAGAAGGATCAAAAGTTGCATCTGAAGGCAAACTTGGCAGGAGGCATCCAGACTCTGAAATTATCTACTAAATGAAATTAATAAGCAAGATCAAACTCCTTGTTAAAAATTGAAAATTTTAGGGCAGTATGTAGTATAATTTATGATATCAAAAGAGGTTTCCTGTTAAGTTAGTTAATAAAATAGTCATTAATATTTTGGAAAGTAGCCAAAGATATGCATTACCTTGAGCCAACTGGATTATCAATGGAGTATGCCACTTGCAATTCAAGATACATAAAAATAAAAAAAATATTACAAAAAGTTATACAGCAACATGGAGGTCATTGATCATCATCATCAATAAGCCAAGCTTTCCCATGAAAATGCACCAACTCAAGGAACATTTAGAGAAGTCCTGAACTCAAATATTTATGCAACTAACCCTGAAGTGAAAAGTCTTTTAGAGTAATATGACAGGATGTATAAATGTTGGTGCTAACATTCATCTTCTGCAACTAATGCCCAAGCTTGGCAGCACAATCCAATGCTTGTAGGTTGGTTATGAAACTTTGCTTTTACAAATGAGAAACATATTTGCTCATGGAATGACAACATGCTGTATGGTTCACTTCTTGATAACATTTCCACACTCTTTTGCGACAACTATTGTATCTGGAAAAACCAACGGACAAGTTGTAGAAAAAGAAAAGAAAATCAGTGATGCCTCTTCACAAATCCATACAAGTTTATGCTTTATCCAAAGACAAATTGAGAAATGTTTCAATATATAATGGAAATAGTTAAATAAAAAATTTAGCGAGAAACCATAGATAGTACGCAGTGATATTTAATAATCAGCAAACCAGGTCGTTATGCATATGCATGAAGCCTGACCAACTAAGCAATAAAATTAAGAATTTGAATTTAGCCGAAAAAGGTTTCCAATTCCAATGGTTTGGGGAATTGTGACAAGTAGGTACGTTGAGGTCTAAGAACAAATAGTGATCTAAGATATAGCCATCCAAAATATGTAGAAAAGCTTGAGTAATATCATATGGTATACCTATTGAAGATACAAAATTGCAATAAGCTGCTCATCCTCTTCTCTAATCGATCTTAGTCCAAAATTGTCCTGCAAGCAAAAAGATACAAGAATTATTGTTGCAGACATCAAACTTAATACTTGAATAATACAAGGACTTTGAAAATTCCTACATTTGGATTTTGCAGGTTAGGCAAAATCCTAGAACAAAACTCCTGACACACTATTTCTATGGTCTACCATATATGCTGCAAATTGTTGAGATACCATGATATTTTCCTATTATTGCAAAAATAATAGCTATGAAGCTATGGTTCCTCTAGGATCACTTACCGAGAAGAAGTCAGTATCCCGTGCAAGCTAGAAGAAAATTACTGTCATAACAACGATTAAAGTACCCATAACAACACCAATACCAAAAATCTCCTTTAGCTTCCGTGAGTCTGGGATTGGTGAAGGTTTCACTCAATCTTTCGAAATAGTCATAATAGTTGAGCAAAAGAAAAAGAGAAAAGGATACCACAAGTCTTGCCCCCATGGGAACTCCCTGTTACAAATGTGCAATGCAAAAGAAAAAGAGAAAAGGATACCACAAGTCTTGCCCCCATGGGAACTCCCTGTTACAAATGTGCAATACGGGTGAGACTGCAATAGAAAGATCAGTAGTCTTGCCCCCATGGGAACTCCCTGTTACAAATGTGCAATACGGGTGAGACTGCAATAGAAAGATCAGATTTTTAGAACCACGGTAAAATAATTACAAAAAATTAGCATAATACACGAAAAAAATTCTTTATTCATCATTGTGAAGATGGCCAAAGGAGAGATTATAGAAGGCAAGTATAGTGCAAGAAACAATTCAAGCATAGGTTATCTTCTCCCATTTCTCAGTCTCATCTAACGAAACAAAGGAGGAAAAAATCAAACAATTTAAAGTAGTTGAAACCCTAAACATAATGAAAATGGGAAAGTGAATTTTACGAGCATCCCCGTAATGAGCGGAGGTGGAGAAAATCTTCTTGTTGGAGGAGACGACGCAGCTTGATCCCCGATGGAGGAATCAGATGCCAGATCTCGCCATTGAAGCAGCAATTGAAAACCTCAGTCGAAATTTTGAAATGCAAGACTAAAAGATTTATATCTTGAGAGAAAGAGGAGATTCAATAACAGGAGCTTGAAGGGCACGATTTAAAGAGGCGAAAGAATTTAGAGAGATGATGGAGGTTCAGTTGTTGAAAAAAGGAAGAATCGGAGATGAAGAGGAAGGGGGCGGGTGAAGCGACGGAGCTGAGACTGATTAAAAGAGGCAGATGAAATAGGGTTGGCCAGTAATAGCTATTTAAGATTTGCGTTTTAATTAATTAAGCTAGTAATAACAATTAAAAATGTTAATAAATAAGAATGAATAGAATAGAAATATAGGATAAATTATAATTAAGTAACTTAAGAGGGGGCAAAATGGGCATGCAAAAGTTTTGATAATGGTTTTCTCTTTTAGAAGTAGTATAGATATGCAAGCAAGACAAATACAATCAAAACTAGATTAACACAATAAGATAACTTGGATCTTTAACTCAAGGCGATTAGACCTTAAATCAAAGATCACCAAGCTCTGATACCTATTGTTAGACCCTAATACCACTGGGGGGGGGGGGGTGGATAGGGTTTATACTAATCTAATTTGATTTAATGCTGATTAAAACTAATTAACAAGTTATCCTAGCAAATAAGATATGCAATGAGTTATATGCAAGGATAAGCAATATAAACAATGGTGAAACAAGATAAATAAAAGATAAAATTTTGATAGGGCAATATAAACAATAAGCTATAGACAATGACGATATAAGATAAATATAAAAGTAAATGCGCCAATGACAAACTGAAACACAAACAAATAATCACGGAGTTCAGATCTTCCGTCCTACGTTTCCGCTCCCCACTCTCGAGGAGATCTCCACTATCACAACCGGGTTTTTAACGTTCACCTGAAAACGTGTACACCTCACAGTATCGATTTTCAACGCTCATTGATCAACGTTCACAATCTCACAATGTAACTACATAACTACCACCTCAAGTGTTGGCCTCTCACATGTCTCCCTCAAGTGCTTGGAATTACGACCTACCTCTAGGCATTACCACCGACCCCACTCCTCTTGGGACCGACCACGTCTCTCACCGCTACACTCCTCTTGGTATACTTGTGCTATACAATATGAACCTCACAATTTAGCTCACAAATAAAAGATTGTTCTCTAAACAAGGTGAGAACTCAATTAAGCCCAACTCAATGTTACAATCACTCACAATTCAAATTATACTATGTATGTAAATACTAAAAGCTCAAGTGGGTGAGTGTAACAATGAGATGCAATAAAATCAAAACTAAACTCAATATAAAATCTAGCTTAATAAAATGATAATGAAACTATTATATATAAATGCAAATCTAGATTGAGTTTAGAAACACTTCTCTAAAGATGACAAGAGAGAAAGATGAGTTGAATACCCAAACACAAATGATGATATCCTCGAACTCTTGTGAAAATTTCTTCACAAACAAACATGTAAACAAACTTTGAAACTCTTAAACTCTTTTAGAAACTTTCTTAAACTTGTTTAGAAACTCTCTTGAATGGTTGAGAAGAATGAGGTATGATGGGGTATATATAGGAAATTCCAAAGCCAATAAGAACCCAAGAAAAATGCCAAAAAGCCCTCAAAAATCGAAAATACTCAAAACTAGGCGTTATAGGCTAAAAAGACCAAAATACCCCAAAATACAACATTCTGGAAGTTTGCGTATCTCACTTTGTAAAATCAATTAAAAATAGTAAATCAACTCCAAAAATCATGAAATTTTTATATACTATTCTAGACATGTAGAAGAACATGTTAGAGAAAGTATATATAAAATATCACTTCCCATTTGTGAGAAATAAATGTTTTAAAACATATATTCCAGATTTTAAAAACTGCTAAAACACTTGATTTTGTAAAATCAATTCAGTATAGTAAATCAACTCCAAAAATGATAAACGTTTGGAAAATAATTATAAACATGTAATAGAACATGTTACAAAAATAAATTTTTAAATTTCATTTCTTATTTGTGAAATATAATTTATTTTGTAAACTATTTAAGAATACGAAATTGTTAAAATTTGATTTTGATGAAATTTATTCCAAACAAGTTTTGAAATATTTTCCAATAGAATAATAAACTTTAAAAAAGATATAAAATAATATAAATAATTCTTTAATCCATAAACCCATTATTTTGGAAATAAAAAATGATTTAACTTGAAAGCGATAAACCGAAAACGTGTATGTGTATAATATTTGAGCTTTAAGCATTAACACACAGAGCATAAACCTAAAATTAAATTACCCAAGCTATCTTGATCTTCAATTAAGCTCGTCTTGGTAAACTTTTCAGATGAAGTTTGATCTTGGATCTTAACTTGAATTGACATAGGCTTTACTCTACTATTTCCGCCAAGCTCCATTGAATGTGATCGTTATGGCACAATTTCATCCAACCTCCAACTTATTGTTTGCCTAGAATAAATAAAGAACACAAATACTAGACAAACAAATTTAGTCGTAAATTGTTTATAAAAATATCATCAAAACAAAAAGGCCAACAGAAATATCTAATATGAAAAAGATCACCATGACATGGCAATGACAGAGTTGTTTTGATAAAATCAACCGTTACATTGTTATTACTTGCATTATCTAGTGAAAGAAAAAATGTCCTTTGATCAATTTCTAGTTTTATAAGTTTTTCAATTATTAAATTTATAATATTAATACTAGTATGTGACTCTTCAATTGCAATAAAGAAAACAACTCTTTTAAACATTTGCTAATTTTTATCAATCCAGTGTGCTATGATACATAAATAACCAGTTTGTGCTCTAGATGTCCAAATATCAGAAGTTAAAGAAAATTTACGTTTAAAATTTTAAAATAAGAAATTATTTTTTCTTATTCCTCCTGATAATGTTTTAAAATATCACGTTGATAGGTTTGACGAGAAAATTTTGTAAATGCAGGATAAAAACCATCTCTAAACATATCTTCAAATTCATCATCTTCTACTAATTTAAAAGGAAGGTTTTTAAGAATGACAAATCTGATTACGCAATTCCTGCCTCAGGCAGGGTCATAATTTCAACTACCGAGACTACCAAAAGAGGAGGATTGGGAAATCATAGATTATCGGATATCACCTTGAGGATTCTGGCATTTGTTGTGTTTTTCTATATGGCGTTTGAGGTGGTTGGTGCCGCTCTTATGATGAGCTTGGAAATTCTGGCCGCACAATGCACATTTAGCCTTCTAGGTGATGATCCTACCGTGTTCATCATTAGCGACGTCTATCTTCTTAAAAAATTTCACATATCGGATCTCTGCCTTTTAGGAGCTCTTGATGCAGATCTGTCACCACCGGATTCATGATTAACACCGGTAGGATCGGTAGGAGTAGCTGTTGTAGGAGGACTCATTTCAAGGTCAGTAGGAGATAGGTTTTACTCTTCATAATCAGATTCGGAAGCCATTTGATAGAAGGATTAGAAAGTATAAGAGATTATTAGAGAGTATAAGAGAGTATAAGATTGTATAAGAGAGTATTAGAGAGAAGTAGATGAGTTTTGGTGTGAGGAGAAGAAGTGAAAACCCCCTCTATTTATAGAGGCAGCCTCCTAGGTAAATGACCAAAAAACCCTCACAAAATAGCCATTTTTGACCGTTTTAAGGGGCAAAATGGTCAAAACAGCCAATATGGCCATTTTGGCCGGCCTGGCCATAATGGACACTTCTGTGACCGTTTTTCCAAACGATCACTTCTGTGAGCATCGGTCGGTTCGGTTCGGTTTTTACCAAAATTTGAGCAACCAAACCGTTGCAAGTTGGTTCGGTTCGGTTCGGTTTGTTCGGTTCTAACTTCATCAAGTATATGGTGTACACAGGGATCTCACGGATTGAAGTCACTGAACCAATGTCTGAATAAATTCACACCATAGCTTGGACAAGCTAGATACAATTCACAAGTCTAAGCGCATACTAAATCATTTTAGATGATAATAAACAGATCAAGTTTTCAATCAACACAAACCATCATCCGTACTAGGTCTCATTGAATTAATAAGCAGTCGTTTTCTTTTGAAATGTTACTGGACTACTAGAAACAACATTAGAATAACTTGACATTCATTGAATTAATAAGCAGTCGCCATCCTCATCGTCGCCCTGCAATATAAAAAAAAGCAAATTAATGAGTGCTTGTGTTGCTGTTCAAGGCAACATATCATTTCCACTCTAAAAACAAAACATCAACTTACCCAAATAGAAACAATTATTACCTGTGTTCTTCCATGAAAGCTCTTACAAATCCGTGATTGTCGGTTCAATTGAAAGCTTGCCCAAATCTGAAAGATAAACAAATAAAAAGTTAATAAAAAAATTAAATCATTTAACATACAAAAACATAAATGGTAAATACCTATGTCTAACTTCTCAATAGCATCCAAATCTTCTTCAAAGCAAATTTTGCTTGAACTCGGCTTAACCTACAAGTTTCGAAGCCACTTGGAAGTGCATACTAGGCTTTGTACCATTCTCGGAGTCAATGAGCTCCTAAATGGATCAAGTACTCGGCCATCTGTACTAAATGCAGACTCAGAAGCAACTATAGAGATTGGAATAGCTAATACACCATGAACCATCCGAGAGAGAATTGGGAACCTTGCACTATTAACTTTCCAATAAGCTAAAATTTCAAAGTTACTTTGATCGGCTTCATCATCCTCGCTTAGAAATTTTTCCAACTCTAATTTTGCTTCGACACTTCCTTTTGAGGCTTTCAACCTTTTAAACCGACTTCTTACATCGGTTATTTGATTAACACTATCATTGTCAATATTATTAGATGAAGCACCAATTGATTGCTCACTTGCATCTATTTCAGTTCCATATTTAATTTTCATTGAATAATGCAAATGCGGCATCTTTGATGAATTTTTACTTATTAACACTTTCTTTCTCACCGTATGTAAGCTCAAGAATAAAAGTCACAAAATCTTCTTTATTTCGTGGATCTAGAATCGCCGCAATGTAAATCAACATGTTCATCTTCTCCCAACTTCCCCAATACTTATCATATTTATATGTCATTCTATTAGCAATTCTAGCATATGATGCATCATCAGACAATCTCCATTTTTGCAAATCACAAGCAACATTACTAATTTCTTGAAGAAAAAAATTACTTGTCAGCTGTGAAGAAC